ATGTGAGGGCTCTCCTCAATTTTTTTTTTTTTTTTTTTGACCACGCTCTGCGGCTTGCAGGATCTTAGTTCCCCGACCAGGGATTGAACCTGGGCCCGGCAGTGAAAGCGCAGAGTCCTAACCACTGGACCGCCAGGGAATTCCCTCCTCAAATATTTTAAGGACTGTTATGTAACACACAGTCTGGAGGGAGATGGGTTGGAATTACAGAGCGTTAGATTTTTATCTAGAGGAAGAAAGAACTTCATAGGAGTCCAAGCTGCTGTCATTTTAAACCAGCTCTACCCTCCGGCTTGGCTGCGGACTGTCTGCTGGTTCCTGTTCCACTCTGGCTCTCAAACCATGTCATTCCTCTTGCCGGGTCTCTGATGCCAACCCCTTTACTCTAGCTCCTGCTCTGCTTTCTACCTGCCTCTTGGAGCTGAGGTTCCAGAACGACTGTCCTCTTGCCTAGTGGCTTGTCTTTGCCCAGTGCTATGGCTCTGAGCCAGCCCTTTCCCTGGGAGGAGAAACTGGATGCTTACTGACAATGGAACTGGATGTTTCAGGAGGCAGTGTATTCCTCGTTTCCAGAGTTAGGGAAGCAAAAATGGGCAAGTACCTACTGAGAATATTATTGAAATGATGTGTATCAGTTGGGATTCTTTGCTTACAAGTAACAAAATATGCCAACTTGAGCAAACACTGCAAGAACATTGAGTAGCTGAACAGTGTGAAAATCGGTCCAGGGACCAGGAGGAGAATCAAGGCAGTTGCAACCCTTGAACCAGCTTTTCAAGGTGACATCTCTGGTATGGGTGAACTCCCGTGTGTTTTCAGTCTATATTTCACCCCACTCAGGACTCAAAATCCCAGAAACCGGAGTTTTGATTGACCAAGCTTATCTCAGGTGCTCTGGCTCTAACTGGGTGGATGAGAGAAAGGCTCTGGCTGGCAGAGCCTACAAAGACTTCTAAGGCTCACTCCTGTGGCTCACATGGGGAGCAAGACATTTGATTTAAAGTCCTTCAAGCCCAGATGCAGTAGAGGGCAAGTAAACTCCCCCAAACACGCAAGAATTGGGGGTTGTTAGCAAAAGGAGAATGGGTACTGGGCAACTGAAAGGACAGCACTTGGATAAATGTGGAACTAGATTAGTGGTTCTAGATCTTTGGACTCTTCTAGACTTGGAAAAACTTTTTTTTTTCCCACTAAATAAGTTCATTTAAACAAAATGACTGCTATCTGGTATCATCATCATTTCATAAAAGAAAGGTCATTAATGTAAAAAAGTAGAAAGACAATCTCAGAATAAAAGAGAGTCCATAAGTGAATAAATTTCCTTTAGGTCATGGAATTCCCTGTTGGTGCAGTGGTTAGGACTCTGTGCTTCCACTGTAGGGGCACAAGTTCGATCCCTGGTCAGGGAACTAAGATCCTACAAGCTGCATGGCGGCAGCCAAAAAACAAAAAAAAAAATTACTTTAGGTCAGATTTATTACAATGTTTTTGTTGTTGTTGTTTTCTTTTTGCGGTATGCAGGCCTCTCACTGTTGTGGCCTCTACCGTTGCGGAGCACAGGCTCCGGACGCACAGGCCCAGCGGCCATGGCTCACGGGCCCAGCCGCTCCACGGCATGTGGGATCTTCCCGGACCGGGGCACGAACCCGTGTCCCCTGAATCGGCAGGCGGACTCTCAACCACTGCGCCACCAGGGAACCCCTACTATTACCATGTATTTTTCCTTGTTTCCCTCATTTTGCTGGAGACCATTGAACACAGACTGGCCCCCATTTGGAGATGGGCTTTTAGGAATCATTGAACTAAATGATCTATAGGTGTTCTACTAACCCCAAGTTTCTGTGATTCCAGTGGGATCTTGCTATAGAATAGTGGTTCTCAACTGGGGACAGTTTTGCCCCCTAGGAGACATTTGGCCATGGCTGGAGACATTTCTGGTTGTCTGGGGGTGAGGGGCAGAGTACTACTAGCATCTCTTGGGTAGAGACCACGGAGGCCACTTGATGCCCTACAATGCACAGGACAGTCTCCCACAACAAATCCGGCCCCAAATGTCAAAGTGCCAAGGTTGAGAGACCCTGCTATCCATAGAGGAAATCTCATTAAGCAATTAAAATGAATAGGACAGAGAAGAGTGTGGTTAGGTGCTGCTGCTGCAGCAGCCTTCACTCGTGAGACAGAATTTTTGTCTCGTTAGATTATAACCGCTGCTTCCAAATAAAACGTATTTTTTAAAAAATACAAAAGAAGCACATAATCACCACTGACATTTTGGCAAAAGGCAGAGAAATATAAGGAAGGAAAGCAGATTACTCTCAGCCCCTGCCTGTTCTCTTTCCTGATCTGTGTTTCCTCTTGGCTGTCTATTAGCATCTCAAATACAGCACATCCAAAACAGACCTCTTGATTTTCCTGCCCTGTCAACCTCTTCCTCCCCACATCTTCCCAGCTGGGAAACTGGCACCTAACCCTTTAGAGTCACCCTTGACTCCTCTCTTTCTCACACCTACATCGACTCCATCAGCAAATCCTGCCAATTCTGCTTTCATAGTATGTTGCAGATTCCATCACTTCTCACCCCTCCCCATTCCCAGCCCCAGCACTGCCTCAACCACGGCAGAGGCCTCCCAAGTGCTCTTCTAGTGTCCACGCTTACCCACTGCAGTCATTTCTCCACACATCAGTTAAAGTGATCTTTTTTTTTTTCATTTGTATTTTTTGGCCATGCCATGTGGCATGTAGGATCTTAGTTCCCCAGCAGGGATTGAACCCACACTCCCTGCATTGAAATCACAGAATCTTAACCACTGGACCGCCAGGGAAGTCCCAGTTAAAGGGATCTTTAGAAAAAATTAATCAGATGTACCCCAGCTCAAAACCTTCCAGTGGCTTCCATCACACATAGAAAATCCTAACTTCTTCCTGTGGCCCAAAGACCCCGCTCTTTCTTCAGCCTCATCATTTGTTCTCATTTGAGCCGTGCGGGCCTGGTTTCTGTCCCTCAGCCACACCAAGCTCCTGTCTGTCCTGGGGTCTCCTGCACTTGCTGTCCCCTTTGCCTGGAACATCGCACAGATCTTCCTTCCATCATTCAGGGTCTGCTGGGATCGCTCCTCCTCAGGGAAGCCCTCCCTGACCTCCCCATGGAAAAGATCCCTCTCCTCGCCAGTCTCCCATCCCACCACCCACACCCCTTGCCCTACTTGATTCTTACCTAAAGCCCTTATTATCCCATAGTATCATGTTATTCTTTTACTTGTTGATTTGTTTATTGTTTTTCTCTCAACTATGATACAAGCTCCGTGAGGGCTAGAATTTGTCTTATTCTCGGCTGAAAAGCCAGTGTCTAGATCAGTGTGTACATGCAGTAGTCACCCAATAAATACTTGCTGAATGAATTAACATTTTGGTAACTACGCTTCTAGTCTCTTATCTACCTTTTTTTTTGGTTGATTGATTTCATATAATTATATTCATTTTATATAAAATATATAATATTATCTACCTAATTTTGTATCTTGATTTTTAAAATTACTGTTATATCTGAAACAATGTCTTAGTACCAACTCTTCATAAACAATTTAATAGTGGCATACTGTTGCTTTGGGTAGAGATGTCAACACCTCCTTGAACATTTAGGCTGTTGTAACCTTTTGCTGTAGTAATTGTCACTGCAGTAAACATTATAGTGCCTAAATCTTTTTTTCTTGTGGGTAATTTCCTTAGGATAGCATCCTAAAACTGGAGTTACTAGATAAAGGATATGAGTACCTTTACATTTCTTAATATGTGCCATAAAAATGATAATATCCTTTATTTTTTTTCCTATCTCTTTCCTACTCAGTCTTACCCTGCCTGCAAAAGCCCTGAGATGACTTCAAACCTCTTCAATATTTATGGGAAGAGCCCTCTGATTGTGTACTTCCTCCTGAACTACGCCTCTCTGCAGCAGCCTGGCAAAGACGTGTTGATGGTCAGGAGGGAAAAAACCAAGACCATCCCATATCCTTTCCACCGCGGGCTGGGCACACATTACTCCAGGCCCCTGCTTCCTCTTCCCAGAAGCAGGGGTGAAGAGACAGGCGTCCAGCCCTTAGCACAGCACCTGACACATAGTACGGGCCCATCAGGGGTGACCATTGTTACGAGCCTACGGGTCGGAATCTTGCTCATTTTAATTCCAAATCTGCCTCATGCACTGGCTGAGTGGGACCCTGGGCAAGTCGAATTTCCCTGTGTGCAATAACCTCTTCCTTTCTACCAGAAAGAATGGACTACTTAGGGACTCTAACATATTTTGCAACTCAGTAATGCCTCCTAGATGCTCACTGACCCCACAGTATATATTGATCAGGAATTTTGGTGTCTAGGGGTATGTTTCTTCCAGCACCCTCCTCACACACACCCCTCCCCAGACCCATCAACAAATTCTTGGCCCTGATGACACTTATCCTAAAAATATGGTAAAAAGCTCAGATCTTAAGAAAACAGGTGCGATACGTGTTGGTGTCCTGAGTCTTAACAGTTTACCATAGAGGGTCAGAACATGGAATCAAATAGACCTGGATTCAGGAACCAACTCAACTGCTCACCAGCTGAGTGATCTTAGACAAGTTCCAGCTTCCCTCTGAGCCTCATTTTTTTCATATATAAAATGGAGATAAGAGTACCCACCTCATAGAGTTGTGATGCAGAGAACAGGCACAACAGCGGTAAAGGCTTATTTAGCACAGTGCCCGGCAGGTAACAAATGATTGAATGTTACCTATCAGCATACAGCTCCCCATAAGGAGGAGCTTTCATAAGTAGTTAGGACTTAACTCCTGCCCTAGAGCACTTCATATCCACAAGCGTATTTATATATCTGTAGGCAGAGATTAACAACACACAATTCATAGTACTTTATTGTTTATAAAACGCTTTCCCTTATATCACCTCACTGTTCTGTAAAGACAGTGTAGTGCAGTAGAAGGAGCCTGGGTTGGGGATACACAGCCCTGGATTTGTGTCCCAGCTCAGCAACCCACTGGCTTTAAGATCTCATGTGCACAGCTTAACCTCTAAGCTCAGTATTTTTATCAACTCATTCCTAAAGTGAGGATACTTATACCAAATCAATAGTGTTGTGACCAGGATTAAATGGCATACAGCTGGTACTAAAAAAAATAGTAACTGTCATTATTATCATTAACATCATCTAAGGTAGGTACTATCTATTTTATAGATAAGGAAATGGAGACATAGAGGATGACATAGATTGTCTGATGTCCCACAGCTCGTGATGAGTGTGGCTGAGATTGTGACCAGTTCAGAAGGGGTTGAGGGGTGGTGAAGGTAGAGAGAACTTTTCAACATACAAACCTGAGATGGGGAATGAGGACTGGCCCTGAAAGGAAAGGAGAGTTGGAATCCCTTCCTATTCACCACTGTGATAAGAGAGTAAGAATTTTAGATGATAGTCTAAAATAAGCACTTCCTAGCCCTTCCATCAGCAGGAGGGGAGAAAGACTTGATTAAAAGATGGGGAATGGCCTAGCCATGGAGAGGATAGCTTCTTTCTTTCCCAAGCAGGCCATGGAGTGGTTTCCTGCTCAGATTTCCAGAACCAGGTCGGTTTCCCCATCCTGCTATCACACCCACCTGCTCCCCATGTACTGGACACATCCCACTAATAATAATGCTGAGTCAATACCAACTGACAGTGTGGGGTTTTTCCTCGACATGAAAGCCACTGAGTCCACCCTGACGTACGTTGAGGTCATCAGCCTGACCCTGAGCAACACAAAGAAGCGGAGGGACGACCTCCACCAGCTGAACCGGTTTCACTGGAGCGAGTGGAATCATTTCAGTGCGCACCTGAAGGAGCTGCACAACAACCTCCTCAGGTATTTAAGGGGCCTTCAGGGGAAGAGGCGTGGTTTTGGCATTTGTCTATCGCAACACATCACACTAACTTGTAACTGGGTCCAGCCCTGTAATGACCTGTGACGCGCATTCAGCTTTCTTGTGGTCAGAATGTAAACCCCACGATAACAGAGACCGGATATTTTTTTAAAGTTACTTTTTCCTAACTACAAAAACATTTATGCTCAATGAAAACAAACGAAGAACCTGGAAAAGCACCTACAGGTACACGTTGCCAACATTTTTCTATAAATTCTTCCAATCTTTTTTCCTGGACACATACATCTGGATCTCTGAACAAAAGTAGTAATCGTGCTGTCAGACTATTTGTAGACTTTCCCCCCGCCCATTAGCAGCATATTATGAACATTTTCCTGTGCCTTCTCCCTCTTCAATATTTTTATTCTATTTAGAAATTTTTCAGACCTTTCAGAAAAGTTTAAAGGACAGCGCCATGGACACCATTATGCCCCCACTGCGTTTACCAGTTATTCACACTTTTGCCACATTTTCCTTCTCTCTCTAATAATTAGGTCAAATAAAAATTTCCCCAGTTGTGCCCAAAGTACCATTTTTGGTTTTACTTGCTGCTCCAGGATCCAGTCAAGGATCCAATACCTGGAGGTATTGTATTTTGACGTTCTCTTTGGTGTCTTTTAGTCTATGATAGTGCCCTGGCCCCCAGCTGTGTTATTATTATTATAATTATTTTTTATGACATGGGCTTTCTTGAAAAGCTCAAGCCACGTTCTGGATTTTTCTGATTATTTCTTCAGGGTATCATTTAACTTGTTCCAGTTGATCTCATATTTCCTATAAGATGGACATTGGATCTGTACTAGAGGATTGATTAGATTCAGGTTAAGTCTTTTTGCCAAGAATACTTCACAGAGACCTTGTAAATTCATGTTACACCTCATTAGGAGAAACTTAAAGTCGGGTTGCCCCACTGCTTATTTAAGGTGGTCTCTGCCAGAGTTCTCCATTGTAAGCCTACATTTTTGCCTTTCTAATTAGTCAGTAATGAATGGTGTGATTCTTTGAGACTGTGAATATGCTTTCCCAACAACATTCATCCAGTGGTTTTAACATCCACCCATGGTCTTTACCTGAATCAGTTGTTACATTTGGGGCTGCAAAATAGTGATTTTCTACGTCTACTATTCCTCCTGCTTTTATTAGCTGGCTTTTTTTTTTTTTTTTTTTTTTAGGTAAAAAGGAGCTCACCTTCTTTTTTCACTCTTTGTCTCTCATGTCTTCTCTGCCTGCCCCCATAACTCTTTCATGTGGCCACCGTGAAAGAGAAGCTTGAGGAGTATCTGAGAAAGGAGAAGGGGATTTTCATGGCTGGATTAGACCAGAACTGGTCACTTTGTTATCCAAAACAAAACTGGATTCAGTTTGCCGGGGAGAAAGGGGGAAATTGCTATTGGCTAGACAGCCATCTATATCTGCCATAATATGAGGGAAAGAAAAATATGAACTCATAGATAAATACTTTGTTATGCAAAGTGATACAGTGAAGTTATTTCTAAAATGTGCTGGGACACAGACAAACAACACATACACACACACTTGTTAAGCACCAGCACAGAAATGCGGGTCAGCCTAAACTTTCATCAAAAGATGATTGGTTAAATAAACTATCAGACGTCCATACTCTGCAGCCAAAAACATGGTGATGTTGATCTATTTCTATTTTACAAGGAAAGATGGTCACAACACATTAATGGCCCCCAAGTCACGTTATAAAATGATGTGTATAAATAGGCACAGTTGTTTATCCTTATTTTACAGATGTGGAAGCTGAGGTCAAAGGACAGAACCTTAGCGGGCAACGTTAGAGCATAGAGTATGGGGTAGAGGGAGAAGGAATGACCAGAAGGAAGGAGGAGAGCTTATATATAAAGGCAGACCAACAGAGAATGAAGCTGAGAGAAGGGGAGGTAGTAATTAGCGGTGTGAGTGCCAGGCACAGAAACTTGGGGCTGAGACAGGTTTGGTACTTTGGTAGAGAGAGCAGTCAGACACTAGAACATGGGACGTTAAGGGGAAGGTATGAGCCCCCATGTGGGGGTGGGAGGGGGGAATAACTAGGAGGCAGAGGAACAAAATTCTGAATCAAAAGGCAAGGTTGGATGGTAACTGGGCTATTTAAAAATAAGGTGGAAGACTCAAGCCTATATGAAGAGGGAGAGATTGGAGGTGCGGGTGAGGGAGGAGAAGGTCACGGAGGGTTAAGGGAGAGCGCACAGGAATTGCTGTTTAGGGCTCTTTGCTTCTGCCTCTGTTACTGTAGTTCATTATGCTATTTGTTCTGTAGTTCATTGTCCCAGCAAATATTTTCAGCACCTTCTATGCACCAGGCATTTTATTTTGTTTACCAAACATTGTTTTGTAATGTCTGTCTCTTCCAATAGTTGTAACAATTCTTGAGGGTGGGACCCATGAATGGCAGAGGCTACAGCGGAATATAGGCTTTTTCACTCACTAGCTCTGTGATATTTGATCTGTCACATAGGTCATTTAGCTTCAGTTTCTTTGTTGACTTAATGAAGATAGTATTTCCTACTTTGTAGGGTTGTATTGATCAAATAAAATAAGGCATGTAAAGCCTTTTCATAACCAAGCCCACAGTAAATGATTGTATAAATTAGAATTAGATTTGGCTTCAAGTGACAGAAGAGCACAAAATAGTGGGTAAAACAAGACACAAATCTATTTCTCTCATTCACAAGGAGTCCAGTAGATATGGCAGTTCAGAGTGTCAGGGATCCAAGCTCCTTTTATCTTATTGCTCCATAGTCCTCAGCCTCATGTTCCAATATGGCTGCTCAAGCTCCAGCCATCAGGTCCACATTCCAGCCAGTAGGAAGGAAGATGGACTTCCTCCTGGAAGTCACAAATACACCTTCCATTTTCATTCCATTTGCCAGAACTTAGCCCCATAGCCACACCCAGCTGTGGCATTAACAAGGCAAAAATAGTTTAGGGTTAACATTAAATTCATATAGAATATTCAAGATTAAGCCTACAGAGGGAATTCCCTGGTGGTCCAGTGGTTAGGACTCTGCTTTCACTGCCAAGGGCCCGGGTTCAATTCCTGGTTGGGGAACTAAGATCCCTCAAGCCACATGGCGTGGCTGAAGAAAAAACAGATTAAGCCTACAGAATATTTATTTCAGAAATATATAAGGAAATCCTTCTTTATTTTATTTATTTTTTTTTTTTTGCGGTACACGGGCCTCTCACTGTTGTGGCCTCTCCCCCCGCGGAGCACAGGCTCCGGACGCGCAGGCTCAGCGGCCATGGCTCACGGGCCCAGCCGCTCCGCGGCACGTGGGATCCTCGCGGACCGGGGCACGAACCCGTGTCCCCTGCATCGGCAGGCGGACTCTCAACCACTGCGCCACCAGGGAAGCCCAGGAAATCCTTTTTTAATAACGACATCCTTATCAGGTGAATTATAGTAAAGATTTTTTAAGTCAGGAGAAACTTTGTAATTATGTGTTAGCAGTTACATTGCCAAATACATCCACTTTTTGTTAGATAAGGTGTTATCAAGAAACTCAGCATGGCTTCTGTTAATAAAGTGATTCTCAAAGTTTTGTCTCTAGAAAAAACTGGTGGCCTTAAAATACATCTGTGTTGTTAGACATCAGGGCAGGGCTACCCTTGAGAAAGTAGGGTATGACTGAGCAGGGGTATGAGGGGGCTTCTAGGGGGCTGGCAATGTTCTGTTTTCTTGATCTGGGAGCTGGTTACATGGATGTGCTCAGTACATGAAATCTCCTTGAGGTGCACATTTAGAGTTTGTGCACGCTTTGGTATGTATGTTATACTTCAAGAAACTTTTAAAAAATGGTGACCATCTACATCCACCAATTTAAAGGACATGCAGAGCTCAGAGGACCTTGTCAAGCACTCCAGGGTTGCAATTGGCAAATCCAGAATGGGAAATTCTGTAGGACAAATAACCTGGTTTCTTCAGTACATAAAAAGCAAGGAAAATAAAAGAGGGAGGTGCTGTTATTGTTTAGAAGATACTGGAGAGATATGTTAATCAAAACATTGTTTGGATTCTGACTTAAATCAACCGCTTGAGATAATTATCTCAATTATGAAATAACTGGGGAAATTTGAACACTGACTTGGTTTTAGATGATATTAAGAAATTCCTTTTATTGGTATATTCCCTTTTTTTTTTTTTTTTTTTCCCTGTTTTCATCCAAGTCCCCATCCCTCCACCCCGTGCCTCTGGTAGCCACAAATCTGATCTCTTTTTTCTATGAGTTTATTTTTTTATTTTATTTTTAAATTTTTTTTCCTGTACGCGGGCCTCTCACTGCTGTGGCCTCTCCCGTTGCGGAGCACAGGCTCCGGACGCGCAGGCTCAGCGGCCATGGCTCACGGGCCCAGCCGCTCCGCGGCATGTGGGATCTTCCCGGACCAGGGCACGAACCCGTGTCCCCTGCATCGGCAGGTGGACTCTCAGCCACTGCGCCACCAGGGAAGCCCTGTATATTCCCTTTTTTAAAGACATTATAATAGTTTTGTGGTTATGTTTTAAGAATCATGTCTTAAAGAGATACATAATGAAGTGTTTATGGATGAAATGACATGGTGTCTGGGATGTGCCTTAAAATAACCCATTTGGGATGGGAGGCAAAGGAAGTAACAGATGAATCAAGACTGACTTCAGATTGATAACTAACTAATGAAGCAAGATAATGGGTGAATGATGTTAATTATACAATTTTCTTTACTTTTATAAATGTTTAAATTTTTGAACACTATCTTTTTTTTTTTTTTTAACGGTGGCCCTAACAAGATCAAAAGGTGACAAATGCCCATGTGCAATAGTATTGATACTTGTAGGTGGGCTAGGACTCTTTGGGGACATCAATTACCACTTGTTCCCCTAATGTAGCGTGTCAGCTGGGAGCACTGCCATTGACATTGGGCAGACCAAAGCTGTAGGAACAGCTCTGTTTCACCCTCAGTATGATTTAGGTCCATCATTTAGCCCATGTGAGGCTTGGATACCTCATCTACAAAACAGGAACACTACTCACAGAGTAGTTGTGTAGGTTAAAGGAGATGTCGAGCTTAGTGCCTGGCTCACAGGAAGTGCTCAGAAAATGACAGCTATTAGAGGTAATACGTGTGACCCCCACACCATGAAGAGTGCAGGGACCAAAACAGCACTGGGTCTTGGAGTTGGAAAGTTTGCCACTGGGGACGCCTAGCGAGCAGTCTCCCTTAGAAAAGGCGACCCAGCAGCTGTTTTGCTGGGGTCTCTGCTCTAGGTGGAGGAAGAGCCTAGCTGGCACATGCGGATGGAGCTGTACAGTGAAGGAGCGGGGTCAGTTGCTGCTGCAGAACTTAGTTTCCTTGTGAGTCCAGAGCCCTGATTCTTAAACTTGCATGGGGGCAAAGCACCTGCAATTCAAAATGCCCTTTGCAGAGTTTTATGAAACGTTTCAACATTATGATTCTCTCATACAAGCTAAAGATGCTTCTACTAGTGGAAAATAGGAGCCTAAGACATGTATAGACTTCAACAAATCAGGAAATGACAATATAGAAAATATTATCAAGGAATTATGACCAAGTTTTCCTGTTAGAAAATGTCATCATAGCAAGGACAAATGCAGTTCGCTGCTTGTTCTTTGTCTCTCCACTGCAAGCAGAAGCAGGCTTCAAAAGGTTAAGAAAAAGTTGTGGCAGAAGATGACCAAAATGAGAATTTTGTGTCAACACAATTTTTTCCTTTGACTTGGGGAAAGACCCTCACTGTTGGAATAACCACTGGTTTAGGCCAAGTTCAACACTAGTTTCTTAACACCAGTCTTTCTACATCTATTCTGCAGCAGCAAAGAAGTATATGACAGCATCTTAATTCACTTGAATGTATATTTATTGTTTTTTGGCTGCCTTGAATGACCATAACCTGCTTCTTCATCGAGTGGAGGTCCACTCACATTTCACAGATCAGCTGGTATATTTTCCAGTTCAGCATTTCCGTTGAGCACCCGAAACGTATCTGAACATGCTCCACTGAAAACCTTCTCCTATAATAACAGCAGCAGCAGCAAGCAACATTAATTGAGCACTTCCTATGTACCAGGCACTGTGCTAATCGCTTGACCTATGGTAACTCAATTAATCCTCACCACTACCATAGGTTCTATTATATTACCATGTTGAGATGAGTACACTGGCAAGGAGAGGTTAAGTAACTTGCCCAAGAACACACAGCAAATGGCAGAGCCCCAAATTGAATTGAGCCTGCCCTCAAGCTCATGCTTCAGCTTTCTCTCAGATCGTTGGTTTTCCTCACCTGTCTTCCTAATTTGAGTATGATCCATTGAGTCAGGGACCACATCTTATTCCCCTGTGTCCCCCAGGGCTATATGACTCCCATCACATAGCAGGGGCTCAGTGACTGAGTTGCTGCTGTGCGGCCAGCTTTCTGCTTCAGTCAGTTGCTCTTGACAGATGTAATGAATGAATTGGTAAATATTTGCCTCTCTTTTCATGTGAAAATAGAGTGAAACGCTGACTCTTTAGTCTTTTTCCATGTGTCTTTGTGATTTTCCCCACAGGGAGGTGAAGAATATTGATCAAAGAGCAAAAGACAAAAAACAGGCGAACCACATGTTCATCCAGCCTTCAACCTTCATTGAGGACTCCCCTGAAAAGAAATCTAGAAGAAGCCATCAGAGGGAGATTGCGTTTCTTTTGAGGTTTGTTTGAACGAAGACCATGGGAAAAGTAGAAATGTGAACACTTCAGGAATTCTTAATACGTGGAAAAGTATACATAAAAGTCCACTCACTTTTATGTGTTAGTCACTCAACTCTCACTTTATTTTTATTATTATTAATGGTAGTAGTAAGAGCTACCAATGACTTTTTATTTCCTCTATGCGAAGCATTTGTACTTTACGAAGTGTATTGAGTCAGAGCTCATAGGTTGCAAGTGCCAGGAAACCAGCTCAAACCAGCTTGAGTGGAAGGAAAATCTCGTGGCTTCAGTAACTGGGAAGGCCACATTCAGGCTGGCTGCAGCCACGATGGACCTTAGGGCTCAATGATATTTTCAGATTCTCTCCCTTTCCTTCTTGACCTCTTTGCCTCTATGTGCTGGCTTGCTTTTCAAGCTGCCCCTGCCCTCAAAGAAAGAAAGAGGGCCAAGAAATGCCCCAACCCTATGTCCTTACAAGTGCGTGACCTAAAAGGAATAGGGACACCCTCTCCCAGCCTCCATAAACCAAAAAGCCTCAATAAAAGTCTCTGATGGTGATGCCAAAAGCTCAGCCTCTGTACACTGGTGCCGAATTGAATCTCTGAGACAGAGTTTTGGGTAAAGTAGAAAATAAGAGATTTATTGCTTTGTCAGGCAAAGGAGGACACAGAGGGCTCCTGCCCTCGAAACTGTGTGTCCCAACCCGGGAGGATTTGATGAGGAGTTTTATAGCAGTAGTTCAAGGGCAGCGTCGCTGACAAGATCAGAGTGTGCGCAGGGCCTGCACTCCCTTAATCTCATCTCAGGTCTCCTAATCTTGATGAGCTTCTATGGTCCCCTTAATCTTGCCTCAGGTGGTTTCTCATCTGCTCTTCTGACCTTTGGAACTCAGGGAAGGTCATGGAGGCTGGAGTCTTGCCTACAAGAAAGAGGGGACAAAAAGGCTTTTGTGCCCAGGAGCCCCACAGGGCCCTTCTCGGTTTCAATGGCTCTGCTTGGTTCATGGTTCCACACATCCCTTCTGCACCAACACTGTGTTCAGGAAGAGGCAGTGCTATTACTAGCCAGACCTGACCGTCCCTGCGGCCTGAGAGAACAAGGCAAAGTCAGTGACATGGGGTAGAATTGGTGAGATGCCATCAGACAAAAACAACATGCCCAGTTTATTTGTATCTCAACAAAACCCTATTAGATAGCATAACACCCATGTTACTGAATAGAAAACTGAGGCACAGAGAAGCCAAGTAAACATTGGCTGAAGACCTACTATGCCAGGCACTAAGGATGCAAAGAAATAAATAAGTTAAAGTTCTTGCCCTCAAGGGCTCATAGTATAGAAGAAGGAAAAAGATATGGAAATAGATAATATGCAACAAATGGCATAGGTCCTAAGAGAGGACTTCAAAAGAGAACAGAGTAGGGAGCAGTCAGTTCTTTATATTTGCTAGGCAAGCAGGGAGGGGAAGAATGGGCTGGAACTCTAGGCAGAGAGATGTTCAAGCCAATTTGCAGAGCTAAAAGTTACCAGACTGCAGCTGGGTCTGGCTGATTAGAGAGTGAGGGAGAGTTGAGGCAATGAGGGGCATCAGAGGGTCTCACATGCCACCTTCTAGATTCCACCGTCCTGTAGTGCATAGGCATCCAAGAGTCTACAGAATTATAATTTTCAATTCTGGAATTTACATCCATTATTCTAAATAACATGCTTACATATGTATTTCTTGATTTCCTTTTAGACGTTATCTGTTGATAAGGTTTTCCAGATTGTTAAAAGCTATCAAAAACCAAGCAGCATCATTTTCCATATTCTCAAATGTATCACATATATTCTATGTATATCATATTAATATATTCTGTTAGGTAACGTGATCATAACCAGGACAGATGCAGTTAGCTGCTTGTCCTTTTTCTCTCCATTGTAAGCAGATGTAGACTCCTAAGGTTAAGAAAAAGCTGTGGCAGAAGATCCTGAAAGTGAGAATATATTCTGATAATTTCTTCTTCATCTTTTTAATCTTGGAGTTCTCCTTCTCAGGCCCTCATCCTCCTCCAGTCTGGACTGGTGTGCTCAAGGTCTGCTCTCAGTTATCATTTTGGGGCTTCTTTTCACCATTATCCTAGGGCTTCCCTTAGTCAACTTCACTTTGTTGGAGTCTCCCAGGTCACATGTCTTTCTCTTTCTTGTTTACTCATTTTGCTGGAGCACATCTTCCAGTAACTCTCAAGGGAAAGGTACGTAGCAAGTTTTTGTAGTCTTTACATGTCCAAAATGACTTTGCTCTTGATTAATATTTGACAAATGTTTTGCTGGGAATAAAATTCTAAGTTCAAAGTCAATATTCCACAGAATTTTGAAAACATTTATTTTCCTACCTTCTAGTTTTGCTGTTGAAAAATTTGATTCCGTTCTGATTCCTATGGTCTTGTATGTCACCTCCACCCTCCCCACCCCCAACCCCCATGGGAGTTTTTAGGATATTGTCTTTCTCCCTATTATTCTGATGTTTCACAATCATGTATGTGCCTTGGTATGACTCTTTTTCTTAATATGTTTCATTGGGATTGGGAAGCCATCTCAAACTGGAGAGTAGTGTCCTTCAATTCTGAGAATTTTTCTTTTATTATTTCTTTGGTAATTTTCTTCCCTTTATTTTCTTAGCTCTGTTTTTCTGGAGCTGTTATACTCAGTTGTTATACCTCCTGGACTGATTCTCTAATTTTCTTATTTTTATTCTCCTCTTGGCATCTGTATGAATTTCTGTCCTACTTTCGAGAGGAGTCTCTACATTTTACCTTCAAATGACTTCTTTTAATTTTTAAAATTCTACTGTAGTATTAATTTCCTAGAGTGAGGTCTTTCTTATATTTTGGTTGTTCCTTTCTCATAGCATTCTATTCTTTTTCATGGGTGCAATATTTTCATCTATTACTGAGAACATTAATCTTTATTTTTAAAGTTTCTGACCCTCATTTTATTTCTGTGGGTTCCTTTTCTTGGGTACCTTTTTACATTTTTTCACTGTTTTCTTGTTTTGAACTCTCACCTTTGAACTCCCATCATTTAGTTGGCTGCGCTGGGTCTTAGTTGCGGCACGCGGGAATCTTTTTTTTTTTTTTTTTTTAGTTGCGGCATGCGGGATCTTTAATTGTGGCATGAGAACTCTTAGTTTTAGGTTCACTCTTAGTTGCAGCATGTGGGATCTAGTTCCCTGACCAGGGATGGAACCTCGGCCCCCTGCACTGGGAGCACAGTCTTGGCCATTGGACTACGAGGGAAGTCCCCTGGGCTGTCTTTAGATTTAGGACTGAGGCTCTAAAAAGCTGACAGTAGAAGTTGGTATCAGTGGTCATGGCTTCTCAGTTGGTTGGCTTTATTTTTTCTCATGATCAGGAAGCAAGCCAGCTTTCTCATTTGAGAGACTCAAATATCAGCGTCTGCGCTCTTTTCTCAGAAGCCATTCAGTTTCTTAGGAGAAGAATCTTCCAATCATTTGCCTGTGGGACATATGCCTGGCTAATGGCATTCTGCAAACAGAGGAAAGGAAAGGGGGGTAAAGATCCTGCATTTAGTAGAGCCAACTTCCGCTTAACTATTTTTATTTTCTACTGATCTACTATGCCCAAGACTGTAGCCTCTTTATTTTAATTTCCCCAGAAAGAAAAACAAAAGCACAAGAAAAACTTCCAATTTTCATTTGACTCTCAGAACAATTCTTTGATGTAATATATAAATTAGGATTTTATTTAGTCATATTTAACAGAAAAATTAAAAATAACAATGGCCCAAAGGTTGATTCTCACATATAAAAGAAGTCTGAAGGTAGATGATATAGCCTGATACAGTGTTTCAGGGGCTTCAGGGAGCCAGGCTCCACCATCCTAGCCCTTGGTATCCTTCCTCTGGGACTTCCATGGTCCACCAAGATGGCTGCTGGAGTTCCAGGCAACCTGTCTGTTTTCCAGACCAGAAACTATAAGAAGGAAGGGAAGAAGAGGGCTAAGGTCATTCTCAATCTCTGTCTCTCGGTCCCTCTCTCTCTTTCTTTAAATATATTTTTAGAGGAGTTTTACGTTCACAGGAAAATTTAGAGTAAGGTACAGATGTTTCCCATGCACTCTTGCCCCACCACACGCAGAGCCACCCCCCATTATGGACTTTCCCCACCAGAGTGGTATATTTGTTACAACTGATGAACCCACAGTGACACATTATAGTCACTCAAAGTCCATAGTTTACGTTAGAGTTCACCCTTGGTGTTATACATCCTATGAGTTAAGACAAATGTATAATGACATGTATCTATCATTATAGTATCATACAGAGTGTTTTCACTGCCCTAAAAATCCTCTGTGCTACTCTTATTCATCCCTCCCTTCATCAAAACCCTGACAACCACTGACCTGTTTATTGTCTCCATAGTTTTGCCTTTTCCAGAATATCATATAGATGGAATCATACAGAATACAGCCTTTTCAGATTGGCTTCTTTCACTTGGTAATATGCATTTTAGGTTGCTCCATGTCTTTTCATAGCTTGGTAGCCCATTTCTTTTTAGGACTAAATAATATTACATTATCTGGAGGTACCATAGTTCATCTCTTCACCTACTGAAGGATGTCTTGGTTGCTTCCAAATTTTGGCAAGTATGAATAAAGCTGCTATAAATATCCGTGTGCAGGGTTTTGTGTGGATATAAGTTTTCGACTCTTTGGGTAGATACTAACGAGTGTGATTGCTGGATCCTTTGGTAAGAGGATCTGTATACATTTAGTTTTGTAAGAAACTATCAATCTGTCTTCTAAAGTGGATGTACCATTTTGCATTCCCACCAGCAATGAATGAGAGGTCCTCTTGCTCCACATTTAGTGTTGTCAGTGTTCTGGATTTTGGCCATAATAGGTGTGTAGTGGTATCTCATGGTTGCTTTAATTTGCATTTCCATGATGATGTGATGTGGAGCATGTTTTCATACACTTATTTGCAATCTGTATATCTTCTTTGGTGAGGT